CAAACCGGCCGGTTCTAAACGATTTCGATTTGATTTGACCGGTTCTAGGAAAAAATGTCCACTCCTATTTGAGCCATTTTTTTCTTTTTTAGATTTTGGGTCGTTTCTTTAATTGGTTTTTTTTTTCTTTAAGGAAAAAAATAATGGCCCCCTTAAGAATTGCAAATGAAACAAAATTCAATAGCCATACACCGGGATCATTGAAATGCAGTTGCTCGAAAGAAGTCCGGTGCTCCTCCTTATGGGTGGTGGAATGAGTGCTAGCGAAAGCACTGTCCTCAGACATTATGAAAGAGTAACTATTGACTAAGTAAAAATAGAGCGTAGAATTCAAGGTCTCCTTTTCCAAACAGTTTTCGTTGTTTTGACCTTTTTGCCTTGCAAATTTTCTTGCGTGTGATTATAGTAGATTGATGGATATTTTGAATGAATAATGCTAATGGTACATCACCATGTACCTAAGGGTGTTCATCGACGCCTCGTCATTGGCGAGGCGTCTGTGGGCCCCTGCGCGTTGCAGGCGCATCGTCAATGATGAGACGCCGAATATCCATTATGGACACCTTTAGGTATATGGTGATGAACCCCTAACACCATTGTAAATAAATAGAGAAAAGTAAAAAATTAGATATGAATGCTTTTGGGGTAAGGAAGAAAATAAAATTTTAAAGGTTTGAAATTGTGAATGATAAATATACAAAATTTGGGTATAATTTGCAAACAAATACAAAGTTGAGGTCCGCAATTTCAATTATTCCTTCTTAATGTTGACAATTTTTACTCTCTTTAATGGTTAAATTAGACGGTTATGAAGTTTTTTACACCTAAAAGATTGTATTCCGCGCTAAATCAAGGACCTTATCTACTATTTTCAATAGGTAGGGAGATTTTTTGAACAATATCTAATAGATAGGAAGTTTTCTGCTATTAAACCTTTAATTTACATATATATTGAAATTTTTTTAATATTATTTAATTAAATATTAATAAACAACATTGCACAATGGTTGACTAGCCGCCCTAGCTGACCTTCCATCTTCGATCTGCCATTGTGTCGACCATCTATCAATATTAATATGTAGTCGAAAGCTAACAATCAATTCGACTAACAAGTGTAAAGCAACACGTTTTGTCATTTAAAATTAAAAAGCAACTTTTGAGCGCGATTAAATATTTCAAAATACTAGAATCAATACAGGTAAAATGTAAATCCCAGATTTTATTCCTAAGCCAAACCAAATTTATCCGTTTTAAAGTAAATGAAAATAAGAGAAATGGAGAAATTATCCACACAAGAGTACATGTAAAACTCAAAATCACAACCTCTTATCTTTGTTCATTTTTTTCTTGGCATAATTTTTGAGATGAAAATTAATAAAAAGTGCCAAAAGGGAAGCATTAAAAACTGCATTGAAGCACCATCCCCAGATCCCGGAGCAACCCGACCCGGTAAAATGGTAGTACAGCATCAAACCCGAAATCAAGAAGCTAAAAACGAACTGAATAATCTGAAAATCCGTCACCAACCTCTTCCACCATGGACGAATCCCAATTGCGCATAGCAAGTAATAAGCGTACATTACCACGTGCACCGAGGCATTGGTCACGAGCGCCACCGGGAATAGCGACTGCGAGGTGGACAGCCAGAGGTAACACATTATGACCACCACGCCGTGGTGGTACACGTGGAGGAAGGAGAGCCGTCGAGAGCGAGATTCACTGAGGAGGATCAAAAGGGTATCGATGAATTCGAATATTTTGGAGAAGTAGAAGACGTGGGCCCAGAAGAAGGTGGGGCCCTTCGGCTGGGTGCGGCCGGCGGGGAAGCAGATGGGCCAGATGGGGTCATTTGGCGGCATCTGGTGGAGGGTGGAGAGAGTGCAGCCAAAGACCATGAGGAAGGAGAGAAGGCAGAGGATTAGGTTGTGGGTGGCGGTGATAAGGCCCAGGGTGGCGGCGGGGAGAGTCGGGAGGAGGGGAAAGTGGCGGAGGGTAAGGGTGAGAGTAAGGTAGACAAGGACAGTGAGTGTGAGGAAGAGTGGGGTGGCGCCGGCGGTTTGGCCAGGGATCCATTCGTATTGATTGATGAATGGGTGATCAACTAGCCAGTAGTGGACGGCGGTGTAGAGAGTATCCATCACGCGCCGCAGCAAAGGAAGGATAGGAGGTGGGTGTGGGTGGAGGAATGGATAAGATTTTAATTTATTGCACGGTCGTGGTATATACTGACACCAAGCAAAAATCGTCCATGTTCGCTTATCTTCAAATTGTTTTAAACATTTTGGATCTTAGTCCCCAAAAGGACTATAAGCTTATAGTTGAAAATATCGATTAGTCCCTCAACTTTGAGGCTTGCTTTAATTTGGTCACTGTACTTCAAAAAAATCCAATACGACCATAATAACTAAAAACTTTGAGTCGAACGACTTGGAAGGAGGATTGAATAGAAGCAACTTATTGCTTATCTAAACTAGTGTTATAATATTATCGGTTCTAAATAGCTTGTTCATCAAGAGAGAGTTTACCAACTATACCTGTAAACAATTTATGAGTATAGGGTCAAAAAAACTACATTATAGGATTTCAGTTAGAGCCACAATACTTTCCACATATTGATGATTGATGTTCTTGCGCATTACAGTGGTACCAAAACCCCAACCCTCCAGCAAATTGATCATTTCATGCTCGTCAACCACCCTTGGAAAGTCATTTCCTTTCTTTCTTTTCATCTTTTTGCTTTAACATTGACGACAATGTTGTCAAAAGTTTTCTCAGTATTTTATGTGAATCTACGAGCTTCAGAGTGTTATAATTCTCTGATTGATTCGGCTGCATCACATTTCACGCAAATTGGACATGTTTGCTCTCTAGCTTACCAAGAGAAACGAGAAAGAAAAAAAAAGAAAAGAAAAGAAGACATGTTTGCTATGGAATTCATTTTTTGCTGCATGCTTGATATTATTTGGTTCAACCTACCAACGTTTAGGGCAATGACGGATTTAGGGGGGGACTGGCTGGACTGTATCCCCCCCCTCCCCGGCACCAGGTCAATTAAATTTTGTTTAGGATAATTTTTTTTATTTATTATTATTATTTTATTTTTTGTAAAAACAGACTTAAGTAAAAAAAAAAAAAAATTCGCATATTAGCCCGGTTTGAAATTTTTTTAGCCCGATCTTGAATTTAAAGCTGGATCCGTTAGGGTAAATCAAATTTCTTCTTTTTTCCCCGTGAGAGAAAGAGGAGAGTGGGGGTGGGGGTTGGGTTACAAACTGTATTTCTTATGTTTCTATGAAATGGATGAAGAAACTAACATGATTTTGAACAAAGCTTGTGTGCCAAAGATAATTTAAAATTTTCAATTGAGGTGGTTTAACACAATCAAAAGCCAAGTAAAGGTCTTGACGACATGTCTCGCCTTCGCTCATTTCTACTTTTCTCAACATGTGTTAAATCCCGAATTCGATCGAGATAAATAAATTTTTAAGTCATATCGTACCCTCCTATTAATAAGTATGCCAATTATGGTTAATCGCGATCATGTTATGGTTAATGGAATCCAGAGACCAAGAACCTACCACTACTATTGGTGTCAGCCAACGACGTATAAGAACCACGACCTCCAACCCAGCTGAAATATGGTGTCCTCGTCGTTTAGGACAAGTAGGGCACGAGCTCGACATGTCAAGACCGAGACTTAGCTTAGACGTTGAGCTGGAATTGAAGATACAACACCAACTTCAATTGAAGATTCCAGAATTTTGTGGATTTTTCCATCTCATATTTTACTACCAATTTCTTAAACCTTCTTCATGGAAGAATTCTCTAGAAGATGAAGGCAACCACCATCACCAACATTATAAAATTGTGTAGAAGAATCAACGACCTTCTTTAGCACCTATATATATCCATGTCTAGTGCATTTTGTATGTAGAGAAAGAGAGTGAAAAGAGAGTGTAGTAAGTGAAAGAGAGAAAATATTGTAAGTGCTCCATGTCTAAATAATATAAGTGAGGATAATGATCTCAGTGTGCATCAAAAATTGTGTAAAATTTTATCCTATCAATAAAAATTACTTTCTTTTGGTGTTTAAACTCTTCAAAAACCATCCCCCATGGCCTGGATATTGGATTCTTTGGCTCAAATGCTAGACCCATCAATTAGGCAACAAAAATATCTCGACTATGGAAGTCATGCAAGGCGCTAAGCTTTGGTGTTACCTCAATTTATATGCCCTGATGAGCCTCCAAGACCTGTTTCTCCTCATGAAGATATGTTAGTATAGATAAATTTTATTGTTTTGATTATATTTTATTGAGTAATGCCATTTACTATGTGGGATCCACTACCATATAGACCAATAATAATAATTTAAAATCTTATGTCAAAAACAAAATATACTTTCCACCATGAAAATTGTAGGAACTCCGATGAGACTCAAAACAACAGGCCACCAAAGCCGCCTCCTGTTGGAATTTTGTATCTAAAATTGGTCGTGACCAATTTTATATAATTATTTAAGTAGAATTCTTAATTTGGTGAATGAGAAATTAAGCCAAATATAAAGCCGCTTAATACTTAAAATTATTGAAAAATTGTATAGAATATTGTGGAATATTCTAGAAATATATGGATGAAAATATGTGTCTTTTCATATGGAGGATCATGACTCTTGGTATGTGTATGATTAATTTCCAATAATTATAAATTTCAAGAGATGTGACTCTTTGTATTGTTGTGTCTTTTGACATACCTTTCCAACTACTATATATAGACTCCATATGTTTGAATTTTATCATTCAAGAAATTCAAGAAAAGTCATAGATACCATATCATTCCATTCCAATTTATACTTTGATTTTGCATAAAATATTTGCATCAAAGTCAAAGTTGTGGTCATGGTAGAGAGGAAATTCCGTTCGAGTTCGCTGGTCAAAGTCATTTGGAGTACTTCTATGGCTCGACGTGATCGTTGTATCTTGGAAGATGATTGTCGAAGAATAGTTAGCATCGATGCGGGGCAAATTCATCTTAAGAACAAAGTGTCCAACACTTGCCTCGGCGAAAAATCCGTTTGATCCAAAGAATTACTTGCTTTCGATCATGAGTTGAAAGAGAAGAATCCATATTTAGGTATTCGGATTCGATAAATTCTTATTTGGTCTTCTCAAATCCTATCTCGATAAGTCGAAATTATATTTCGATTTCACGCAAATTAACGGTATGTTTTTATGAATATATTATGCACAATAATCGATGTAATTCTCCAAAAATCTTAAGAGGAAGTTTGGTGCTTGTTGTGGATTTTATATTCTATGTAGAATCTGCCAAAATTGATGCAAAATTGTTAAATTCCGGGTAGTTTATTCCGTTCACAACAGTAAATCAATTTTATGTCAAGTATGTACTTGGGCATTTCTTTAGTAATTTTGCATGAAAAAAAAATGGATCTATTAGTGTGCACGTGTCCATTGAATTATGGGAAAAGTTTTCATATATGCTACAAGTGCATGTGACGTTTCAATTCTAGATGCAAAAGAGATGGCTGTTAATGTGTGTCTCCGATTTTAAAATGGTTTGGTCGATGACTGTTGAATGTTTTGTTTGCCAATTTTACATTTGTATAAACTATGAAGTCTCTGCATGGCTGGAATTAAAAAAAAAAAAGAATAATGTTAATTGTTAAGTGTATGAAATTGGATTTAAAAGTTTTGTTATTGCATGAAGACTCGTGCTTGAATCCTTAAGTTATGTCTGTGATTTAATTGTATATATTATATCGCTTTTGACGATTTCATTTGTCGGTTTATGGCTGTCACCTTTTAATCAAAAGGGGTCTATTTGGCCAGTAAGATTCTGTAAAGCATCTTGAATTGTTTCTATGTTGTGGAGATAAGTATTTGGTACTAAATCAATTTTTGCCATGAAATAATTATACGCAAAAAGGTTGGCGGTAATGCTTGAGAATTACCACAGGAAAGTATCATGTTTTCGGTCCTTGAAATTTGGACGTAATTGATATTGTTTTATTATAGTCCATAATGATTTTTAATGTCCAGGAATTCATTATACACGAATTTCCATATTGTCTTTATGTTCCTAACCAGAAAATTGGAAATGAATGTTTATGTTTATTATCTTTATGTTTAATGAAATAAAGATTCATTAAATAAATGCAATTCATGTTGGAAATTAATTTCTGACCATATGATGACCCATTGTATATTTTGTAACTGCCATGGAAAGAAATGTTTGGAATAATGTGACATTTCATTTTAAATGCAATGACAACAATTTTGTGGTGGCTTTTGATTGGAAAGCATGAATTGGCGAATTGGCGAATGGCAGTTTTATTTGGTGCTAAATTCCTTAAAAAATTGTATCGCTAATTTTTCATTGGAATAAAATACAAAAGTGGATATGGAATGTGACATTATAATATCATTTGTATAAACGTGAATTCCAAATAGTGAATTCATTTGGCGAACTCATACAAGAGTTTGGATTTCGAAGACTTTTTGGTCAGTATATGCAAAATCGGTATATGCATATACAGTACGATGCAAATACGGTAAACAACAAATACGGTAGGCTGCAAATACAGTAAGCTACATATACGGTAAGCAGCAAATACGGTAAGTCGCATATACGGTAAGTTGCATATACGGTATGCGTCAATCAGATAAATGACATATACGGTATAAAATTGTAAATCCGGTATATGTCCATGGATTTTGGTTTGAAAATTATACAAACATTGATTAATGATGATAACCTCAATTAATTCTATGAATGAGATGATTTATGCAAAATCATAGTTGTATAAGAGCATGACAGAATGTGGTTTTGTCCTAATTATTTTAAAGTGAAAATTGTTTGCCCAACTATTGTGATATGAAAATATTTTATAGAGCACAAATAGAGTCTATAGTTGACGGTGGTGCCGGATATCCTTGAAAATAATGATTGTAAAATGACATTCATTTGTAAAGGATAAAAACAATGCAAAAATTGTGAAGAATATTATGAAATAATCTAGGATTAATTCGAAGATGTATGTCATTTTGTAAGGTTGTGACTTTGAAAGCACAACTTGTCAATCTATGGTTGATTTATTTTTTCAAATGTGAATATGGTGAATAAAGTGAAATGTACCTTATTATTTGATTTGAATAGTATTATTTGTGAAATGTCACAAATGTGAAAGTTGCACATGGTTGAAGATGCTTAGTCTTCTTCATTGTTAAAATTTGACTTCAATC